ATAGGAAAATACCACAATGAGAAGATTTAAAAAAAATGTTGTGAAATTTCCTCATTTTTATTGTTTTTAGACGTTGGAGTGGGGGTGGAGGGCAGTTTCAAATCTGTGAAGCCTGGCGGTGGCTCCCCAGGCTTGTCAATGTTGGACAGCGTCCACTAGGTGGCAGTGTGCTAGAAGATTTCTTTTATCCTTGACTTGGCAGAGATTTCCTTGGATGCTGACCAGTGGTTTAGTTTTCCTTTTTGTCCTGTTTTGAAGGGTGAAATGAAGCTATCACGATTTAGGTCCAAATTATGCTTATCTAAAATTACTTAAATTCTCTGAAAAGCCTACTTGTTACAGTGTAACCATAAATACGTTCATTCATTCATGTGAAATTTTCTTAGCAATTTACAGGTATTGTCATGAGTACTTGATAGAACCCAGAGGGAATTCCTTTTGTCCCTTGCATGTAACAGATACTAAACACGCTGTATTCTGAGAAGGCAGATCTGTGGTCTTCCCGGGGAGCAGGACACTGGGTTCTCTTTAGTGGCTCTTAGCCAAGAGAAGAATGCAGGACAGGCCTTCTGCCCAGCTTCCTCACCCTGGAAACTGCCTCTCATTTCTGCTGGAAGCTGTTTTCTGGGAGGTGTGTCCAAGCTATCCACACTTCTCTGCAAATCTGTGGGCATTCTGATAGTGTAGACAACATATACTTGCATTGGATGTTTATCCAGAGGGCTTTTAAAAATTCATGTACAATTGGATTTAAAATAAGATAAAAATGCTTTCTAAAAAGATCTCATGCATTTGAATAATTTGTTCAGAGGAGAGGAATTAGGATGTTCTTTGTAGTGCTTTTCCCAAATTAGATCAGAACTTTCTGAATTTAAAGTAACCAGAAACAATGCTTGAATGATAAGATTGGGGACTAAAGAACTCCGCAAATTTTAAAACATTCCAATTGATTTGACAGACGTAGAGGAACAATGTGGATGAAAATGAATGTAAATCCAAAGCTTAAAAAGTAAATGGAATTGTCAGAGTGAATTTGGATAGTGCTTCAGAAGGAGTTCCTATGATCTTGAAAATGAAAAATATTAGCTAGGAGGGAATTTGAGAAAGATCCATGCTTGGGTGTACATAGCAACGTATCTGACTTGGGGAGAAATGGCTTCTGCTCTGTGCAGTGGACTTGGACAGATTGCCCCCTCATGCCCAGGACCTGCATGGCTTAGTTTGGGGGGTTCATCAGACGAGCCCTGAACATAGCTCAGCCACCTCTAAGCCCATTGTTTTCTGAAGCCCCTGGGAATTCTGAGGCCATATTTCCTGATGTGGAGGCTCCTTTTTGTCATATCCCGAGTCAAGCTGCGCCTCCTCTCTGAGTCATTACTTCAGGGAAGGAACCACCCTCTTGACATGTGTGGGGAAGGAGAGAAAAGACTTTTTCCCCTCTACCCTCCTCAGTTCTCCAGTTGGAGCCCTGTAACTTAGACTGACAAAAGACAGATGAGCAAGAGAAAAGTATGCAAATTTACATGCTTTATGTGACATGAGGAACTTCATAAGGAAATGAAGACCTGAAGAAATGGTTAACCTGAATGCTTATACTAGGTTTGGTGAGGAGTGGAAAGGTGTGGGAAAATGTGATAGGACAAAAGGGTGTGAGGGAAGGGCAGTAAACTGGGGGGGACTTAGCAAAGGCCTCAATTCTGGTTGTTCTCAGCATCCTCTGGGCTTACAGATAAAGGTGTTCCCTTCCTCCAGGTTTGGGGAGCATCTCTCACTTGAGGGTCTTATGACCTGCTTCAGGGAATAAGACGAAGGGCAGGTAGTCAGTCCTTCCTGCATCTGATGTTTCTCAGATTCCTTCAGCTTAAGGTATTCAGTATGCCAAGGTATCATTTTTTGGGGTAGTGTGCTCTGAAGCCCATCACTGGCCATTAATATCCCCCCCGCCACCAGCTTTCAGGAGTATGTTTGATGACTATATCTTAAAAATGGATATGGGCTTTTAGCTCTAAAAAAGAGTCACAAGGCCTGGGTTCAAGTCCCAATTGTATAAGGTGGGTTCTTATTCTCTCTCTGCCTCCTAAAAAATGAGGTTAGTAATAGTTACCCAGCCTCTGAATCAAATATGATAATGTAAGGGAAAACATTTTGTTGGCTATGAATGTAAAAGATGATTTAATATGTGGAATATATATAAATTGTGAGAGCATCATAAATCTATGACTAAATAGAGATGTCACCAAACAACTGTTCAAGGGAACCCTGAATTAGTAATAATGTTTCTCACTACCTGCTATATATGAGAATCACCTGCGGGGCTTCTTTTACAAACGACTAAGTCAGTATCTAATTGAGTTAGACTGGCTGGGCTTGGGGCCAGGGCACCCTAAAGGTGTAGGCTTAGAAGAATGTTGTTTGTGGTTGTTATCTACACAGACAAAGAACAATAATCTTAGGGTGCCAATAGTTGGGAGGGAGTGAAGATACAAGAATAGACATTGAGAACACACTTTTTTTGTAGAATGAGGTTATAGACACATCATGTACCCCCTTTTCACATGGAAACTTCCCTGCAGCGTTTCAGAGAGAAATTGCAATCCCTGGATACCCACAACAGATATAACATGAAAGCAGCATTGCCTTAGGAGTCTTCAGCTAGAATTTTAATTCATCCTTGGTTATGACACAGTTTCTTACTTTTTTTTATAGCACACATTGCAAGTGCTTCTGAACGGTGCTGGTTATTGAAATTTCTTGCAACAGAACAAATCTGTGACAGCTCTGACCTAGAAACCACTGATGAAATGGGCAGGAGAAGTTCATTCCCAGGTGGGAGAGAACAAATTTTCCCTGCCAACTAATCAGTGACTGGGGCCTGATGCTTCTTTAGCCTCCATCTCAAGCTTCGAGAAAATCTCAGATTGCCCGTCTCTGGTGTCTTTTGGGGTGTGAAAGGGATTGCTGTTCTCAAATTGAGGCCCCAGGCTGGCAGCACTAGCTCACCTATTAGAAATGCAAATTCTCAGGCCCCACCCCAGACCTGGATCAGAGACTATGTTTTAACATGACCTCTGAGAGACTGTGATGGATGCTCAAGTCTGAAAACCACTGAGCTCCCACAAAGGCTCTTTCCATATTTTTCTCAACAATAAGTTGTGCTTCTCAGTAGAAAAGCCTGAAACAGGAATCTGCAGACCATACTTGGCAATGCTTCCTCCTCTGCTCCTCCTTCCCTTTGATGATGAGGCACAGCAGGGCTACAGGAAAAATGAGGGGTAGACAATTTTAAATTACTCTATCATCAGGTTTCCTATTTCAATGTTTTAAGAGATAGCAATCAGGTAAACATATATTGTATATATAAATGTATAAAGATATATTGTATTAAAAATATATACCCATTATAAAAGTACAAGGAGATATATATATACACACACATACATACACACACACACACACACGATGCATTGTGCATATATAACATCTTTGCTGTAAATGCAGCAGAGATCAAATCAGGAAATTCTATGTCAAGGTAGAACTGGAAATCCAAAGGCCATGGTAAGAGATGGGAGATAGGAGGTCATCAGGGGAAAGAAATAAAACTTGGAGGCGTAGGGAGAAAAGCAATGCCTGGTAAGGGTCTCTGCCTTGTACAACTCAAAAGGGGCTATGATTTGCCTAGAATTGCCTGCAGCTGTGCAGTGCAGTGCCCTGTGTCAAAGCAAGGACAGAAGGTGGCCTTGGATACACCCCTACAGTTTATTTCCATAAGTCAGTCACACTGTGATTTCTTCAGGACTTTAGAACAGGTAACTGAAGATTGCTGGGCTGTCTCCTCTGAGGGTCTTTAAAAATTGAATAGATTCTCATCTCTCGTGGAGGTCCTAAAGGTAGAGAAAAGAATCAGTGTCGTCTTATCTCTAGAACACTCCCAACTGCTAACAGTGGAAGTTGTGTTGGTGGGTCTATGTATCTATTATCTACTTATCATCTTTCTCAAAGTGATTCTCTCCAGACACTCAAAGAACTTAAGCATCATGGCCCATCCTATAACCATCGTGGAGGGGGATGCTTAGCATGCAGGGTCATTCCAACAACAGAAATCAGGAATCTCTCCAGAGCAGTTCTGGTGTTTCCACTCTGCTACGTGCCCACATGCATTATCTCAGTGACTCTTCACAATTGCCTTATGATAGAGTTGCTATTAATATCCTCAGTGTAATAGGCAGCTGATTCGAACTGAGCACGGATTTGAACTGAGGTCAAAGCCCAAGGTTTTATTCACTCCACCTATTCTATGGTAGCTAAGGTCCTGATTCAGGTGAGATGGAGTTCCCTGTTGGGTCCTTCGTTCGCAGGGCTCACATTGAGATATTCAATTACCTACACTCTTTATGGACTTGTGTTCTTTCCTTTTTTGAATCATGCTTCTAAGCCTCTGTTTGCAGCATTATGTGAGTTAATTATTGGTACTCCAAGAACTCTTAGACTTCCAAGTAGTACTTTAAACATTGTGACTTTTTAAAATAAAATACTAACCACTGGTAGCTAGGCATCATTCTATTTCTTGTAGTGTTATGACAGAAATTCACTAATGAAATAGACGTGAAAAGAACCTCCCTAAAATTTAAGACTGTTCTGTATTCTGTGGTAATTGTTATTTTCCTAGTTAAACTTCATCCCCATCTGTGTAACTGTTACACATTTTTAATTATGTTCAATTATTTTATGTTTTGTAATTTACATTGTCTTTTATTTCTTCTTATTGTCCAAAGTATTTTGTTAGATAGTAAGTATGCAGTCTACTTTTTAAGCACTTCAACATCATTTTTTGGAGTGTACTCCCCTTGATAGCTACCTAGAATAACAAGGGATTTTACTCCCTGTGTACTTCTGGCAGATTTTAAAGGAAAGAGAATTCATTTATGGTATGTCCAATAGTCCTAAATTCTTACTGCTTTACCAAAAGAATGTGTAAATAAGACTCTTTCTTTTTATTTCAGGAATTGCAGCATATTGTTAGATCTCAACACATCAGAGCAGAAAAACGTAAGTTTGGATCTGTATGAATACTTGAAATTCCATAAGGTCACTTGTCTTTGGGCTAACATGGTTTCTCTTATATTCAGCTACAGTGGAAGGTTCATGGTTAGATCTGGCCAGGAGGAGCAAGCCTGATACTCAACCTTATGCTCATCTCACTATTAATGCCACTGACATCCCATCAGGTAAGTTTCATTTGCATCCAGCTTGGAAAATATTTCAAGAGTCATTTATCAGCCCCATTTGAATACTCAAACCTATTATTAACCTTATTACCAAATTTTTGAGAGCCCTTAACTTCTAGATCAGAAGAAAGACACTTAGTCTTCAGTTGGTGATCCACACTGTGGAAACAGTGATTGGCAAGCATGTCAGAATGGACATTATTACTATATTAATTTTCAGATCATTGAGTGGTTTATTTTAAACTAGAGGCCCAGTGCACGAAATTCATACATGGGGGCGGGGAGTCCCTCAGCCTGGCCTGCATCCTCTCGCTATCCGGGACCCCTCAGGGGATGCTGGGCCTAAACTGGCAGCCGGACATCCCTCTCGCAATCTGGGATGCTGCATGCACCAGTGACCATACTTTTCATACAGGTGAAAGGCGTCTTGCTGTTGTATGGGCAGGTACATTTTTTTGCCCTGATTATAAAAAATAGTACATAACATGATCCTTCTGAGGCAGTAGCACCATTTTCCCCATCCTAGGGATGAAAAAACTGAAGCAGAGAACGCTAATTAATTGGCTTGTCCATGCATATCATTGCTGCATCATTCTCTTTTTTTCAGTGTTAGAATAGTCTTGTCAGGTTTTAATTTTGAAATCTAAGAGACTGTTCCCAATATATAGGGCAGGGTCCCTAGGCCTGGCCGGCAATCAGGGCCATCTGTGGGGTGACTGGCGTGCGAGGTGATCAGGAAGGGGGTGCCCTGCCGGCACCCACTTTGGCTGACGGCCTGGTGCTGCCCGGGCAGATGCTCAATGCAGGAGCTTCCCCCGGAGGTCAGTGCACGTCATAGCGACTGGTCGTTCTGCAGGTCATTCTGCCGTTGGATCAATTTGCATATTAGGGTTTTATTATCTAGGATGATTGCCAATTAAGATTGCATAACTGGGAAGGACAATCCCTTATTATGCTCATCTATATTTACCCAAGTAAAATTGACACATCCCCAGTGCTTACCTGTGAGGTACATGAATTTATCCAGTAGTCATATACTCAGCCATCTCCTGCAGAATTCCAGCTAGATGGTTGACAGAGTGATAGTTAAGAGGCAGTAGCCCTCTTAGAAATGAAACATACTTCTCCTTCTTCAGCAGGTTATCACTTTCTTGGGGGGGAGGAATTTAGCTCAATAAACTGGAGACTTGGTTATCTTTTGGAAATGAGGAAAGCCAAAACTCTGGGCCTACATCAACCTGAATGCCCAGCTATTTCATCATAGAATCCCCACTGCTTAGTCCATCTTGGGATATTCAATCACCAAAAATATTACAAGGAACATTATGGTCGAGTGACAATTGAACATTATCGTTTTTATTATTATGTCATTTATTCAACATACTATGTATTGAGCATTTCACTCTGAATTCCTGTCTCTCATCGTTACTACAACCCTACAAGATAGTGATTATTTCAGATTGGCAGACAAGGAAGCTGAGACCTCACATAGTTACCTGCTCAAGGTCACGGTGGCGGCAGGATTGGAAGTTGAATTCCACTCTAGTTGATTCCCAAGTTTATGCTTTTTACAGGATAGGTTGTTATCTAGGCTCCTGTTGCCAATTGGATTAGTCAGAGGGGGAGAAATTCATGTTCCTCTTTTTTTTGTAAGATACAGATTTTATAGGCAAGGGGCTCTAACGCCTGACTGCCTGGGTTCCTGGCCCCACCGTACTGTTTACTGGCTGTGTGACTTTGTGCGGATTATTGGCATAATTGTGCCTCAGCTTCTTCACTGGGACGGTGGTAGTATCTACCTCATGGGGAGCTATGAATACTTAATGAGGAATGCAGTAACATTCCTTTATGGAAGCTGACATTTAGTAAGTACCCAGTGAACACAATTTGTTATTGTTATTTGAGTTTAATTAAATAATTATACATATTCCACTTTGTTGTAAAAATGATTTAAGGCAGATATTTCTTGGAGTTAAAAAAAATTCAGGTTTTAGTAAATAATTTTGAAGCCACTATCATCATAGCATGAGCCATGGGGGGATTTTTCCTGACTGCAGACATAGAAAGTGAGAAACCAACTCTTTAGATTTTAGATGATTTCCCTAAACTATCTATCCTGTCCCAGATACTTGCTTCATAAACAAATTTTCTTTCTGTGTGTGTATGTGTGCCTTACGGTGTAGCTACACCAACTTTCTGAGTGTGAAACTATTTTGCATATTAGCAAAGGCAATCAAATTAATACTTGATGTGTCAGCTGTGTGTGCTGTGGATGTACTCTGCATTTATCTCTTCAGTTCATTTCAAAGAGCATGTGAAAAAAATATTGCATTAAACTGTGCCAGAGTCTGTTTGCCAAGAACAAGCATGCTGCAGTTTCAAAGCTCTCTCTCCAGGCACCTAGAATCAAATCATTGCCAAAAAACAAGGCAACATTTCTGGTTACTTTCCAATGGCTATTAAATTTGAGTCTGAGTGATATGAATTAGTGTATGCTTCTGTTTAAAAAGATAGAATTTGCTCCTCTGGCTGGGCCAATAAGCCCTTGAGTTCATCTATCTCCCAGTTTTGGCCAGTGCTAGATGCTTCACAGGAAGATGGCTTTAATTTTTCAAGTTCATTTTGGGCCTCTGCTTCATACTTATTTACACATAAGAAAAATCAGAACCTGCCTTATATTGACTGTTAGCTTGTGCATTGGCAAAGCTTCTTGAATAAAATACATTGGGAAGTATTTTGTGAGGCCAGGATATGTGGATTTCTTTAGGGTTAAATATCTGTAGCTATCTCTTCTCCAACATCTAACAGCAGTGACCATAGAGACTGGGGAGGGAGCTGGGATAAGAGGCCATCAGCATGCTTCATTAAGGATGGAAACCCAGCTCTGCCAGGAGAGGCCTTCACCCTGATCACAGCGTAATCTCATCCTGCTTCCCACTGTTGTCTGTTCAGGGGTCCTTTCTCCTCGGTTTACTGTGTGTGTTCCGTCCTCTCTCGGACAGTTCCCCTCACAGACAGTACCCTCCCTTCCCTCAGCCCACCTCTCTTTGATCCAAGTCCTTCTGTCCTCTGGCTCCTTTGTGTCCTCCCTGGGCTGAGCTCTCCTGCTGCCACTGATTTCTGAGCTTTCACTGAACTTCAACCATGTGCTATGTGACATGCAGAAATGAAAATGTCCTGTTTTTCGTTGTGTGTGCCCATTCTCATTTTATCCACTACTTGTGTGGTTAGTACCTTGAAGGTACACTGCTTTATATAATTCTCAATTGTGGACAGAGGGAATGCCCATAAAAAGCACAATGGTCATTTATTGAGTGACTGATCAACTAAATTGATCAGTGAATGAATGAATAAGTGGATAAAAACAGAGCTGTGTTTTGTAGGAAATGACTCACCTCCCACCTGGTTTTAACTAATAGTGGGAGTGGTATGTAGTCAAAGGTCCTGTGTTCTCCCCTCTCTAATTTATATTCCTTCCTTGCCTTCCCAAGCCATGTCTCCGAGCCTTTGGTTTAACACCAGCTGCTCTACCCCATTGAGAGGTAGACTTCTCCTTTGTCTTTCTGCTCCTCTCTAACAGCAATCATAGGGGATAAATTATAAGACAAATAATTGATTGTATAAGTATTGAATTCAGGAGTAGTGTAAGAAGGAAGGAAACGCAATATTTTGAGCTGGGAAACGTCTTGAATTTTCTTAGCTTTGTCCATGGGTCGTGTAGCTCTATATCAGCCTGGTGGAATTACTTGCTAGTTTTTATGAGGATACGATGAATAGTCTTGTAATCTCCTCTTGACTCACTGGGGACCTTGGAATGATGTTTACGTCTGGGATGTTTTAACCTAGGATGACCTGAGGCAGGGCCTCCAATGAAAAAGGACTTGTGCTGTGGTGGGTCCTGGAGGTAGCTGTACCTGTAAGGTCTTGTAAGGCTTGTTCTAACGCCCTCCCGTGATGAAATGTGGATTTCAGTAAATATATTGTCCTGGGACAGAAGGATTGGAGCCATTGGCTTTCACTCCACAGGCCTAAAGATGAGTTGCTTCACTGTAGCTTGGCCTCTGTGCATTGCCCACCAACCTCCCTGCCCCCCGCGGTTTGCTCCACCACCGGGCTGGTTTTTGGAACCGTCTGCTATTGAGGTCTCCAGACCATATTCCAGGCTGCCTAGTGGTCCTACAGAAACAGTAGAGAATTCTCTCTGTTGTGGCTTTCTAGAGAAAGCTGCATGTACTCAAGGCTCCACAGGATTCAGACTGGGAAGATAGCCAGTATGGGTTTATGATTTTGCAAGAATCTCCCAGGGAGTCACTGTAACCTGAGGGGTTGACAGCTCTGATGGATCTGTGGAATCTACTTTAAGCCTAAATCCCATCATGGCCTGATGTTTTTGTGGGTGGCAGGCAGCAGTGGACTTCTCCATAGTTTCCTTGGCTGTAGAGGCTAATCCCAACCTCCAATCTTAGACTCTCCAGGCCTGTTTTGCCTTGTTGAAATCTTAACAGATGATAGTCCTCATTTAGCATAAGCATTTACAAGGTTTCTGGAGGAAAAGTGTATTTTTGGATTTTCCACAGTATAACAACTTTCCCCCCACTAGTTGATACCTACTTGAATAATAAGTGTCCACATAAGCACAAATGATTGATTAATTGGGTTTATCATAGAGGTATTGACAATTTTTAGAGACCTAATAAGATACATTAAATCCCTAAAATGTTAAAAGCATTGAACACACTGCTGATTTAGAAGATTCTTGAGAAACTTTTACTGCTCCAGAACAGTAGCATGGGGATAGCTGTCACCACATTTCAGGGGGAGACGGGACTAACAAAGAATTCTGGCCTATCAGGAGGTTTTGTGATACTTTGGTCACCCAATGTCACTCCAATAAATTTCATAAAAAATAAAACCACAAAACAAACAAAGAATCTTGTGAAGTTGTGAAGCTGGGGAGTGCAATGCCAGGAGTAGTTCTTTTGTGAACTCTGGGAGCAACTTTTCCATTATGTGAGACTGGGAAGTATTTGGACTGTTGGAGGAGGGGGAAATTGGCGGTGATAATAGAGTTTTAGGAGTTTGACCTTTTGGTCAAAGTTACTGTGACCCAAACTTTCATCTCCTTCTACATACTGTTTTCCATGAGTTAAAAGAGAAGATAGAATCCTTCAAAGTATGAAAGTTAACTGTACTTATTTCAGGCTTCCTCTCTACTGCCTTTAGCTCATTCTCTTTCTTCACCATTGAATGACTTCCTGCTTCTGTTGGCTGCATCTTATTTCTCCTTTGTGTTCTCAGGCTCAGTAATAACTCAACAAAGTCACTCTCGATCCCTCTGGGGGACCATCTCTCCTTCTTGTGTATTCCTATAGCAATGAGCTGCACCTCTCCTGTCAGGGTTCATGACTTGCTTCTTGAACACATACTATACTTAACCCTGAGGGAAGGAAAAATGAGTTTTTGTCTTTGGACCCTCTCAGGTGCCTAGCAGAGAGCACTAAGTACATCTTAATGTATTTCTCCCCTTTTAGAAGATCAATTCTGAAAAGTTATTCTCCTGTTGAAACAATGACGGTTATGCCATGTATTTTTTTAAATTTATTAACCGCATAGAATTGTGAGGATGTCCTTGTCATTGAAGGGGTGAATTTTAAATCACGTGCCTCTTCCCTCCTCAGGTTCCCACAAAGTGAGTCTGTCCTCCTGGTACCATGACCGAGGTTGGGCCAAGATCTCCAACATGACTTTCAGCAATGGAAAACTAATAGTCAACCAAGATGGCTTTTATTACCTGTATGCCAACATTTGCTTTCGCCATCATGAAACTTCGGGAGACCTTGATACGGAGTATCTTCAGCTGATGGTCTATGTCACTAAAACCAGTATCAAAATCCCAAGTTCTCATACCCTGATGAAAGGAGGAAGCACCAAATACTGGTCAGGGAATTCTGAATTCCATTTTTACTCCATAAATGTTGGAGGATTTTTTAAGTTACGGTCTGGAGAGGAAATAAGCATCGAAGTGTCCAACCCTTCACTATTGGATCCAGATCAAGATGCAACGTACTTTGGGGCTTTTAAAGTTCGGGATATAGATTGACCCCATTGTGTGGAGCATATTGTGTATTTCCTAGGATGCATGGGAACTTATCTTTTAAACAAGCCAAGAAAGATGTACATAGGTGTGTGAGACTACTAAGAGGTACGACCTACGTGGTATAAGAAGACTCTATCCAGCTTTGGACTCTGTAGAGAGCATGTGTATTTATAGCCAAAGGAAGATGTTAGACTCAAGGTGTGTTACAGTCTGAAGGCTTTCTTACACAATGGTTTTAAATTTTGTAATGAATTCCTAGAATTAAACCAGATTGGAGCAATTATGGTTGCCTTTATGGAAAACTGTAATTGGGCCACAGGAGGGGTTAATTCTCTGGATCTAGCCCTTTTTTATGTGCCACTATGCAGCTGAAGTAGAGAGGGTGTTATCTAGCTGCAAAGGGATGATCATCTAAAGCAGCGGATCTCAACCTGCGGGTCGCGACCCCTTTGGCGATCGAACAACCCTTTCACAGGGGTCGCCTAAGACCATCCTGCATATCAGATATTTACATTACAATTCATAACAGTAGCAACATTACAGTTATGAAGTAGCAACAAAAATAATTTTATGGTTGGGTCACAACATGAGGAAATGTATTTAAAGGGCCAGAAGGTTGAGAACCACTGATAAAGGGTTACGTTCTTTTGAATTGTTACATCATGCTGGAACCTGCAAACAAATACTTTTTTCTAACAAGGAGAGAAAATATATGTATTTTTATATAATATCTAAAGTTATATTTCAGATGTAATGTTTTCTGTGCAAAGTATTGTAAATTATATTTGTGCTATAGTATTTGATTCAAAATATTTAAAAATGTCTTACTGTTGACATATTTAATGTTTTAAATGTACAGATATATTTAACTGGTGCACTTTGTAAATCAGCTGGGGAAAAATTGCAGCTAAGGGAAAAATATTATTTGTTAATATCAACTGTATTATATTTCTTCATTCTTTTTAACTTAATAGATTTTTCAGACTTGTCAAGTCTGTGCAAAAAAAAAATTAAAATGGATGCTTTGAATAATAAGCAGAATGTTGGCCACCAGGTGCCTTTCAAATTTAGAAGCTAATTGACTTTAGAAAGCTGACATCGCCAAAAAGGGTACATAATGGGAGACTGGAATCTGTCAAGAGTATTTATATAATTATTGGACAGGTGTTTTTTTTCTACAAGTGCTGCAAATTGTAAATTTTGTTTTTATTTTAAATGGAAAATAGATCAGTAGCTTTTCAGCAAAAGAAAGTCTTTTTTAATTGAGTGAACATTATTTTATACTGTACAATAAAAACATTGCCTTTGAATGTTATTTTTTTTTGGTACAAAAATAAATTTATAAGAAAATCTGTCTGTGATTTTGTGCTTCTCTTTTATATCTGTTATCATGTCCTCTTCAATATGGTAGTGCGACTTTTATCTTTCCAAAGGTTACAGAGAAATGCAGATTCAATTAAAAATTAGGAAGAGATTCAATTAAATTAATGAGCCTTGGAATTTGAAAAATAACTTGCAAGGGATCTGTATGCAAGAATGTAGCCAGATAGAGAGCAGAGGCTTCTTCACTTAAAAAAAGGAACTTTTATGCTATGCTCCTGAGGAAAAATGTTCATAATGCCTTGCAGAACAACTGTTTGACCTGGAGGAAGCCCTGAACATTCTGTACCTTCCCACAGGGAGGCAGGATTAGCTGTGGACTGATGCTCATCCTCGTGGAAATGTATGTGGGTGAGTTCTTCAACCGAAGCTAGTTACCTAAACGAGAGAGATACAAGAAAATGAGCAGCTTGGGGAGGCTCAGGAAACCATCATTTAAGGCACTGGGATATTTGTGGATAATGTTTCTTGATGGTTGTGATAAGATGGAAGGAGTAAAGAAATAGCAGATGTTACAAAGAAGAACTTAAAAATTTTAAACAGCAGAGCTTTGATGGAGGGACTCAATCATTGGCCAAAATACACCTATTGTCTTAAAACTATTAGTAAATCTAGGGTAGATTGGTCCAAAATATGACTTCAGTATTGCATAACCCTTTGGCTGAGTCTTGGTTTAAAGAAAACGAAATTTTGACAAGCAATTAGGGAATTCCTCTATTCCCCACTGACACAAAGTCTTGTATAGAGAGCCTTACTGGCTGTTCTGGCTCCTATAATGTTATTTACTGAGCACCAATGATGTGCTAGGCACTGTGCTGACAAGGCATTGGGGATAATATGCACTCTTTCTGCCCTTGAGTGGTTTCTGTTTGAGTGTGGGAAGCTCCAGGGCATGGGCATGTGAAGTGTGTTGTGGGAGCAGAGAGGAGACCATTAGACACAATCTACAGGATCACAGAAGCTCTAGAAATGAAATCAGGCTGGGTAGCAGGTGGATTGCAAGGCTCCAAAAGTGAATGTGGATTATCCATTAATATTTTAACTTGTTGCAACTAATTTGCAATCTCTTAAAGATGAGCTGAAGCTCAAAGTCTAGGGATGGAAAGAACCTGGAATCTAGTGAGAAAATACAAAGTGGCACCAGCCAGACTGGGGGACGCATGTGGCGGATGGTCTGCAATGCTAAGGGAGACCCTCCATAGAAGACCTTGACTGTAATGCGATTTTTATGTATGTTAAAGGGATTTTTAGAGCTTTGCTGGAATGAATCTATGATGAGGAAATGGTGTACACTGGCCTGTATCTGAAAGGAGGCAACTGGATCAAGTGGATGTGCCAGGAGGTGTGGAAAAGGCTTTTTTCCCCCTTCCTAGTGATGCTAAAGGCTTTCCTGAATCTGATAGCAGGATCCAAACCCCTACTTTTTTCACTCACATGCTACTTCTCACCCCTGCTTTTTTCTTCTCACCCATCCCTTTTTCCACTTCCATTCTTCTGTATGTGTTGTAACCCTTTCTTTTTATTTCCCCCTCACCCCCATCCTTGGCTCTTGCCCCAGAGGACAGGAGACCATTTAGTTTCTCTGTGCCCTTGGAGGATAATGAGGCTGCTGCATCTGATTGAGAGGGAACCAGATCCATGTCCACACTCAGCAACATCTAACTAAACATGTTGAGGAGTGACAAGATCATGTCAGGAAACTACATGCTTCCTGAATTGTTTGCTCATTTTAACTACTCTATTTTTTTTTAAAAAAATATTTTTATTGATTTTTTACAGAGAGGAAGGGAGAGAAATAGAGAGTTAGAAACATCGATGAGAGAGAGACATCGATCAGCTGCCTCCTGCACATCTCCCACTGGGGATGTGCCCGCAACCCAGGTACATGCCCTTGATCGGAATCGAACCTGGGACCTTTCAGTCCGCAGGCCGACGCTCTATCCACTGAGCCAAACCGGTTTCGGCATTAACTACTCTATTTTAATCTTCTTCCCAATACGTCAAACCTGAAGAAAGAAAAGCATGAAAATTTAAAGTCATCTGTCTTCTTGAGTCAACTCTATACCAGAGTCAGGCATCCTTGCATCTTTCCCAAACACCACCTATTCCGCAATTCTTGTTTAGTGAGGTTTCTTCCCTTCCACCTGCCCCCTTTCTTCTGCTTCCTTCTGTGTCATTCTTCTCCATCAGGCCATCCTAGAAAAATATCCAGAGAAGATGACCTATTTCCCCAGTGACTTAGGTGGGCATCAGAGCACCTCAAGCCTCACCCTTTCTCTATGTCGAATTATTGATTCAGTTTGAGATAGTGACATTCTACTTGTACATTTTGGGGATGCAACTCTGATTTCAACTTTCAGTTTCATGTTTAGCCTGTGGAGGAATTCTGGGCACACCAAGCAAGCCCTCAGTTCACTCTTGGCTTTGCTGATCGATTCTTTAGCTTCCTGGCTAGGAAATTGAAATATGTTTCGCAGTAGCTGCATTTATAAATGCTAGTTAGTTATTGATTCACGTTATTATGATTTAGCCTTATGTCACTTTTTACAATAAAATATTTGTACACCTTGAGTATTAGATTTTAGCTATAAAACAAATCTATCCTTTTGGTTAATAACACTTTTATGACACTTCTACTCTTCTATTCTTATAATTTTAAAAATTCTACTTTGTAATCTTCTCTCCTCCTCTCCCCTCTCCTTTGATGACTGATTTTCTTAATAGGAGCTTGTTTTATTGCATCTTGACCAGTAATCTAACTTTTGTGGTGACAATTTCTTTGATTTTATCAGATGTGGACTAGTTATCACATTGTTTATATTGCAACATCTGTAGAAAAATCTTATAGAATCATTTATGAAAATTAAAGTACAATTGACATACAATATTACATTAGCTTCAAATACACACCATAGTTAGTCAACATTTATGGATGGACCTAGAAGGTATTGTGCTAAGTGCGATAAATTAGACAGCGGTGGATAAAAACCACATGATTCACTTATATGTGAGAAACAAAACAAAAAGCAAAATAGAATCTTTTATTTTAAAAATTCGAAGAGTTTTTCCTTCCTGTTGGCCAAGAAATGAACTAGAAGTTACTTACTCCATTAGTAGCACCCAGTGCCAAGTGGGGATGAGAGCTGGTTTTAGAAACAGTATGTTCTTTTTAAAAAATTGATAAATATTTCAAGTTTATACGAGGGACCTAAAATCATGGAATGTCACTCTCTTGGGCAAAAACCATTTTCCCCCTTTTCCTATAGCTTCTGCATAGCTACATTTTCTCAAAAGCCTCATCTCCACAATCTCAGATGAGTGGAATGAAAGTTCCTCAGGACACATGAACATCTTTGGAAGAATGGCCATAGATTTGGGTGTCTATGAACAGGGTTGGAATCTAAGGCCCTTTGGGTGTAACCTTGGGCAGGTGGCCATCACTTGGATTTTACTTTCCTGCCTTGTGAAGCAGGAGTCACCCTGTCTGTGTTGAAGAGTTGTGAGGATTGATTGGCTCATGGGAGGGGCTTAGCAAATAGGAGCCACCATTATTATCCTTCCTTCCATTTGCTACATCCTCAGTCCTAAGGCCCAAGCATGCCCTTGACCTCTTTCTCTCTAGCCACTGTGCAGGGTCTGTATTGAGCAAAGCACTGTGCTCTGCCTTGTGGCAGATACCACAATAGATACTGTATTAATTTCCTAGGGCTGCCTAGGTAACAATTAACACAAACTGGGTGGCTTAAAACAACAGACATTTATTCTCTCACAGTTCTGGAGTCCAGAAATCTGAAATCAAGGTGTCCTGTGATCACACATCCTCTGAAGGCTCTAGGGAAGAATCTTTTTCTGCCTCTTCCTGCTTCTGGTGGCTGCTGGCAATCCTGGGTGTTCCTCAGC